CAGGTTAGTTTCAATAAACTTGATGGCTACAACAGCGCTTTTTGTCTTTCCTTTTCTTTCCCGTTTTCTCTTCTCTTCGAGTCACCACTTCAAAGCACCTGATCATACAAGAGTTAATTTATGTTCATGTGTGGTCACTGAAAGGCATCTAAAAAGAATATATTTTGGATTGCGAAATATTATGCCGAAATTAAGAATAAAATATCCCGGTTTACGGACTATGGATATTCTTGATTAAGCAATTTTATACAAGCCTGTTGAAAAGATTTTTTCAATTTTTGATGTTTCTATTTTCATTGCCTTTGCCATATACGTTAAAAGAAATATGCTTGGAGTCTTACATTATTGAGTACTTCTTAATAGTACTTGAAGCTTTCATATTAATATATGAGAGAAAATAAGCAGAAGGGAATGCGAATCAAAATAGAGAGGATTTTTTGAGGGCAGGCATGGGCAGCTTCAGGTACCTAGGAAAAACTTCATAGAATTGTTTCTAATATTAGCAATTTTATGAAGTTTATGATCATGGAATTATAAAGGTCCTATTAGGATCATAGTGCGGAGCAGTAATTCGCGTCCGAGTCACTGCAGCTTAAAACGTTTCTTGATTAGTGCATAACAGGATGAAGTGGACACAAAGAGCAGCGCCAATCATTAATAAATTATGGATCTAAAGACTTACATTTTATCCGCAATTTTTAGCGCCGATTTTTCTGGGGCGTAACGGGTTCGAATCTAAGTTTAGAATATCCATTTTTTCAGTAAATTTTTTTTGTAAAATCTGTGACCGCGGGTGAGAAAAATAATATTAAATTCATTCCTCCCAAGACATGGTGACTCCGGTGGTTAAATTATTGGGGGGGAAATACTCAGTAACTTTAAGGCAGGGCCTCAGATAGAAAAACAACCATTTGACCGATTGTTGCGGAGACCGCAGTTTACTGCGATGAAATTTTTCTATATCTGAAAAGTTGGTATAACAACAAAAAAAAGGGAGCTTAAGAAAAACCGCACATAATAGTGAGGAATGTCGGTATGTCCAGCCTAAATATCGATTATGCGAGGTAACCACAATAAAAGGTATTACCCGGCAGATAATCGAGTGGCCGCCATTATGGCCTGAGAGGTGTTAAGGTTGTTGTCGTGTAAACCCGTTTTTCGACAGATTTTTTTAAAATTTTTGCTATAGATAGCTCTTAAAATTCCCTCCAAAATGAGCACAACAAAAAACTAATCGTCAGTTTCTGAGCTGAGATATGATTTTTAGAATTAACATGGGTTCAAATGCATTTCACGGTTTTTATTTAAAAAAAAAAACCACTCCACATTTTTTGATGAAATTAACACAGAACGTAGAAATAGTGACTACCAATATACTGAAAAAAAAGAAAGTGATCGTCACTTTCGTAGTAGAGCAATAAATTTTCAAAGTAGCATTATTTCTCCCAGTGGGCGGAGCACATGGGTTTGTTGCGCGCGACGCGACAACGCTTTTTGCTCGAGTGGCGCGAATCAATTTGGAATAGTCAATGACGAATTAAAGGGACGATTCATAAATAAAATAAATACATTGAGTGAGAAAGAGAGGGACATGAAAAAGGAGACACGCTGCGTGCAGTTGCCACAATCGGCGCCATTTAGCGTTAGCTGTGCGTACATGTATCCATGCATGGTAGATTCTTGTGTGCGTGAGTCGAGTGGAAGTGTACACCCGCAAAAGTTTATATTCTAACTCGCATTCTTCGCTTAGCGGAAGATTAACCCGGAGCGTAGTAAATTTTAAGCCTGACTCTCTCGTGACAACAACCTTAATGAGTGACCATCAAAGGCACAACACCTGGAAACCACGAATCATTTAAAAAGAAGGCACACAATTGCGCAAAGGCACGACTAAAGAGATCCTTTCCCCTTTTTTTCTTTCCTCTATTGAATCTGGGGGCCAATAACTTAAACAACCCTCAAATGGTAACCGCAGATGGGAGCTACCCCAAAGAATTAAAAGTGTCGGCAATTTAGAAATGGACCACTTCAACC